TTCGAGCGAACAAATCTTTTGGCTAAAAATTCGACTTTATATTAGGAGAACATGATACTATAGGAGGTCTATTGAAAAATTTTTCCAAGAAATGACATCAAATTCTCGGAATTCTTAAATTTCTTGGAAATGACGTCCACTTCCGAGAATTTCTAAATTTCCTGGAAATGACGTCGAATTCCGAGAATTTCTAAATTTCTTGGAAATGACGTCAAATTCTTGGAAATTTCCAATTATTCGGGCGTACAAAACTTTTGGCTAGAAATTCGCCTTTGTATTAGGAAAACATAATATGAGAGGAGGTCGCTCGACAAATTTTTCCAAGAATTTTAACAGTTCTTAGAGATGACGTCTAATTCTCGGAATTTTTTAATTTCTTGGAAATGAGGTCTGATTCCGGGAATTTTCTATAAACTATAGATTGAATAAACGAAATGTTAATCCAATTACTTTGTATCCGAATAATGTAATTAAAAGTTTTATAGATATCGCTTATACTTACCATTTCCATACTTACCTTTTACTGCTATCATTTTTCTTTCATTTTTTAAGATTTTTGAATATTTTTTACTTAAATCTATATACGTACCATTTCCATACTTACCTTTTTCTGTTATCATTTTTTCTTCATTTTTTTAGGATTTTTAAATTTTTCTTTTACTTAAATCTATATATTTACGTATTATCTTTTGCATACTTACCCTTTATAAGCTGCTATTTTTTGTAATACTATACGTTTCTAATACCGTCATTTATTATTATAAAAAAAGAGCCTCAATATTTTTAAAAAAAGATTTAGAATTATTACTGTTTCGTTTTCGAATAGAGAGATTTGAAATATTTTTATTTTGATTTTAATTTTTTCTTTTATCGAAGCTTTGAAATCTTAAAGAAACTTGTAATTAATTATCGATCTAATTTTAATGATTCTATAATGTTTCGTTAAAAAAATTTCTTACGCCACAGAAATATCATTATATTGAGAATAATTTAAGGAATATTAATTTATTCTACAATAGTAACAATTACATAATAAATAAAAGAATTATATTTCAAAGTTGTAATTTTCACAATTATAAAAAGAAATTTGTGCACACAAAATAAAATATAAATCTAATATATAATCGAACCACTATATCTAAACTGCTTGTGTAAATTCAACTAACGATATGACGACCTTACTGCAACTGGTGATTCAATAAACCAACAGCCATTCAAAGATCGTAGTTAATCTATATTCCTACCGCGAACAAATTCAAACTTGGCTTTGTGACATTAATTTGTGACGGAGTTAATGTAAATGAATCATCTTGTACGTATGTACATACGCTGTTGCGTCGAAAGAATTTGTAAATGGATCTTGGAAATTACATCGAGACTGCCTTGTTCATCGATAAGTGATTCAGAAATTCCCTTGAATCCATCTCCCAGACATTTAATACCATTTAATCCTTCCTTGGAAGCTACTTAACTCACACAGAGTCTACACTCTGCATAAATATTTACCTATGTGTAATACTTTCAGACTGTAGAAAATTTCATTTCAAATTGCTCCCTTCGTAATATTTCCTGGTCGCTTTTTTAATGATACATCAATAAATTCCTTTCTCCTCATATTGGATCGTAACAAATTCAAATTCCACGATATATATATAGATCAAGATTAACTTTATAATCTATAAGCATTCAACAATATATAGTCTACTACCAGAGCTTTGTCTCCTATCACTGACTTATACACAACAGAAATGTGCATATACACACATTCCATTTAAGAATCATCCATCCCATCGCTCTATTCTTACCTCGTATTAAAATCTCACGACTCACGTAAGAATCCTACCATCTCGAAATTCCATTATCGATCTACCATCAACCACATCAAAAAACCCCTTCTAATCTCCATCCACCCCTCTTAATCAACATTGATCAACATTTAAATCTATCTCGAAATTCCACGATTAATTCAGAGTCTACTGTCTACCCAACCAAATTCTCCTCCCATCGAATTCGCGCAAGATTCAAAAATCTTTGCAAGGGGATGAACGATAAAGAGCACGTATACATATATATACGTCCGGGGGACGTGCCTGGCAGTCGGCTCGATTTCTCGGGAAATCGCGGTGCAATTTGGAAAGCGCGCGCGCGCCGCGCGTTTTACGCGTGCGAGACACGTACACGCCGCGGCTGCACAATGTCCCCGTGGAGAAACACGGCCGGTTACTTACGAGGAAACCGACTCGCCACCCGTCCATCCGAGGTTGTCGCAATGCAGCCGCGATTGCGCCGCGGGTAAACACGTCTAGACATCCGACTTTCACCTCTGTCGCGGCCCGCTGTTGTAACGAGCCTCGGCCATTGCGGGCAGAAGAGCCGAAGGACGTCCTGGAATCGGTTATCGGCCAGCTTTCCGCGATTTATGCTGTGGAAACGCATCTCGCCCGATATTCATATTTTTATTATACTTTGTATTATTTCATGAAAGAAACCGGAAGGAAAATATGAGGAGAAGGTATTGTGATGTATATATATGTGAATAATTCGTATGATTCGGAATTTATTAAGCGAATAAATAAATTGGAAATAATTATTTAATATTCAAAATGTTTCTTACATTCGTTCTGTGAAGTGTCGTTTTACAGCTTTGTGGACGTTAAATAAATGATTTTATGAAAAACGATAGATTCCTTTTCAATTCCCTTTTATTTTCTTATAAAATACATGAATATATCTTAGATATTGAATCACTAGATACTGAAAAAGTGTTACAATTAAGAATGAATAGCCAAGCGATTACTTGATGAAGATTTCCTCGAGGATTTTTCTTCGTAGAACGATTTCGAAACGGTACGTGGCCCGATTTTTCCCCAGCCAGTTAGTTAGCCAGGTTTTTCTTAATTTGCTGACTGACTCCGTGGAGAGGACTGTCGAGGTTTGAGTGGCTATGAAATGAGTTGTGAGAATAGTCTGTTCGGCGTGTTGGTCAATATTTGAAGTGTGACGACGCCTCGTGCATATCTCTTCGTTGAAAATTGTACGAACCTTCGACCGTTGTCGCGATTTGTTCTATTTTTTGCAGACAGCAGTGTGACACATCTGATGGAAAAAAGAGACAAGACATATATAGAACGATCAAAGTAATCGATGAATCTTAACTTTTAACCGAATCTAATAACAAATACTTACTTAATTTTTAATCTCGCTTCTTAAAATCTTTCTCTCTCTCTCTCTCTCTCTCTCTCCACTATTACTTAGATATTGAATCACTAGATACTGAAAAAGTGTTACAATTAAGAATGAATAGCCAAGCGATTACTTGATGAAGATTTCCTCGAGGATTTTTCTTCGTAGAACGATTTCGAAACGGTACGTGGCCCGATTTTTCCCCAGCCAGTTAGTTAGCCAGGTTTTTCTTAATTTGCTGACTGACTCCGTGGAGAGGACTGTCGAGGTTTGAGTGGCTATGAAATGAGTTGTGAGAATAGTCTGTTCGGCGTGTTGGTCAATATTTGAAGTGTGACGACGCCTCGTGCATATCTCTTCGTTGAAAATTGTACGAACCTTCGACCGTTGTCGCGATTTGTTCTATTTTTTGCAGACAGCAGTGTGACACATCTGATGGAAAAAAGAGACAAGACATATATAGAACGATCAAAGTAATCGATGAATCTTAACTTTTTAACCGTAATACTAATAACAAATACTTACTTAATTTTTAATTCTCCTTCTTAAATACTTCTTCTCTCTCTCTCTCTCTCTCTCTCTCGCCATATTTCAATTTACGGCGCGTGCATTAAACACGAATCCGTTCTGTAATCTCGATCGAGTGCCAATTGGTCCGTGAGGATAAATGGAGCGGTGCCACGCTGCGAATGTTTCACGCGCGTTCCATATACAGACACTTATTTTTAGACGAAATCAGTGCAACACCTACGTCAATCAGACGGGTACGGTGCCGGTGTGACAGGAATAAAATTGGTGCGTCCGTCGCTCTAGAAATAAATACGTCTAGACGTCCAACTTTCACTTGGCCGTCATTGACAGGCTTAACCTTCCGCGGTACACTTTTCAAGAACGACGTGCCCGCCGTGGTTTCCGGGGAACCGAGACTGATCGATTCGTTCCCGAGTATGTTCCATCTTTTTGAAGAGTATGCCTTCCGATATGTTTATCGCGAGAATCTGGGGGAGGACAATTTAATTGATTAATACAACTAAACTAAAACAATTGATCGAGGATTATCTATAAGGAAATTAGGATTTATAATTTTTTACTTTCATTCGATATCTAGGAGGAAAGAATAGGAAGGAAAGAAAGATTGGAAATTTATTTTATTGATCAAACGTGCGACGATTGGGAGGATTATTAAATAAAATTTGTGTGTGTGTTTTTTTACTTTCTAAAGATCGATCTACTTTACTTGGATAATAAATTGATAATCTCTATTTATATGTTTGGAACTCTCAATAAAACTCTGTTATTTCCTCCTCCCGACAATTAGTTTCATAAAATCATCATTTATCCCAATCCTTCTTAATACGTATTGTAAGAGGCTACCATTATGCAATTAATAAAATATAATTCGTGTATGTAGACCGAATGAAAAGACATTCGAAACGTTTCCACGTATGTTTTAAGTTGCATTTTCATTCGCTATCCTAAATTTGCGAAAAAATGACGATCGTAGAATTATCAGTTAAAACAGAAGAATTGTTTCGCTAACTAACGATCGAATGATAAAACATTACTTCGTATCCCTCCACAAGATGGCCATGGAATTTATTACTTCAACTTTCCTCCAATACGATTATAAAATCACTAGTTATATTACCAATTATACCATACAAAATGTACTATATTATTATTATTCATTTAGATAAAAGAATCACGTCGTAATAATACAAGTTATTTATTACCAGCTATACCGCCATGCTAGATATTACCATATAGAAGGTTCGTCGGATAAATTAATGTTACTAGAGAGAAAAATTACTAGACATAATAAAAACACTGGACAATTCTTTCCACCCATTATCCATCCTGCTCTACCGCCTACATAACCCTATACCTGTCTCTCCACCGTGAAAACAGACACGGAGGAGCAGGTGGCGCGATGAAAATTGGGGAACGATCGATTTTAAAACGGAAGACGATCGGCCAGGCCGGTTTTGCGGTCAAGGGCTTAATTCTGCGTCCGGATGCCGCGACCGGCGTCGATCGATAATCGCGCCCGTGGCAGGAAAGTCTAAAAAGTAGCGGAACAGGCCGGCGGAAAGACCGCAGACGCGGTCTGCGGTTCTGCTTCGACCGCGTCGGCCTTCTCACGGCTATGCAACGCTCGTCCAACCGGCGAGCATCCCCGACCGCGCGAAAATTCGAGTTAATTTCCCGGCTCGAGCCCCTCAGCTCAGCTTAAACGCCCACAAGAGATCCTTCGTTTCGTGATATCGTTCGATCGCTATCGTTCTTCGCAATCAAGGATGAGAAGGAGCATTTGTGATTGATTAAGGTATAAAATCTGTCTGATAGATTTCAATATAAATGTTGCATAGATTTTCCTTTTTAAAATAACAAGATATTATTTAGTATTAATAATATCTGAATGTATCGAATCATCTCTTATTTTCTTATTCCCTGTTTTATTTCGATATACGAGTATGGAAAATCGTTAACAGTATTTGAATTGTTCTTAGACATAATAATCTTGGCCAGCTCTTGTATAATGTACTGTTAACTTTTCGATATACATATTAATATCATAAAGCTTATTCGAGCGGACTACGTGTCGGAATGATGATTTAAACGTGATACAAAGAATCGTTGTGACGAATGTTAACAACGAATGTGTGCTATATTAGTTACTTGAGTGCCGACTCGCTAATTGATCAGTCTGTCTGGGAATTAAAAATGAATATTATTAGAACCATTAAAAGATTACATCGTTATTTAGACGTAGCGTATATTAGATGAATTTTATCAAAAATTCCAAAATCAATTATTATTGAAATAATTTCGATATATTTATACTTACTCTGTTCCATTTAAGCAATCACTCCGTTATTCCATTTAAAATCCATCGACCATAATACCACACTACGCTCCAAGATTTGCAAAGGTTGCAAGATGTTGTTGTTAAAAATTAGGCCACTTTTTCTTTAAATTTCATCATGTACCGTAATTCCTTATCGGCGATCGGTTAAGAGAAAAATCACGGGCATGTTAAAATTCTTATCCCTAACAGCGATCAGAGGCGAGGCTGAAAATTTATTTACCGTAGACGCAATTACACAGCATCATCCATGTGAGAGGCGCGTATCAATATTTATGAAGCGGCTCGGTAATGAATCCCTTTAAATAAAATTTGTTTGCACACAATGCGTTCACCTTGTTGTGTGGCGATTCTTTTCAGTTCCTGACAAAACGACCGGAAACACTCGAGGCGGGTAAATGAGTCACCGTTTCTTTTGTCAGTGAAATTAAGCAGAATACGAGTCTGGATAGATTAGAGGGAAACGTGTGAGGTGCACATATATATATAAGTGAAAAAATTACATCCTTCTCGCGTTGTAATGCGTTATAATGCATATTCATATTCATATCCATCCTGTTGTGCTATATTTCATCATAGAATTTTGAAGGATAAATTATATAAAAAAAAACTTAGTTGATTCTTAGATAACATTTCTTGGGATTCGAGATGTTAATTCAGTTTTTCCCTCTCGGTGAAAATTCTTTGGATGCGTTATTGTTTGGTAAAATATCTATTAGCATTTTATCTTAGAATAATATAAGATCACTATACAACGGAATAGTAGTATAATATAAATACTCTTTCTTGGAATCTTTACATTATTCTATATATTCTTGGAATCTTACAGTTGCGATCATTGTTGATAATCTTCATCACGATTCTACAATAACGTTCATTTTCAGTACTTGAACTTGATACACTCGATACACTCACTTAATTGAAGTTGAAAATTAAATGTACATCCAATTTACTTCGAACAAAAATCCTAAAACAAACTTAATAATAAAAATATCCTATGCGATATAAATAATTTCTCACCTTTGAACAATCCAGACAAATCTTATTCCTCTTCTTCTTCCCTTAAAAAAAAAAAAAAAGAATCCAAAAGCCAGCATAAAATAAACATCAACGGCGAAACGGATAAAAATTTCGTCTGCTCGTAAGGGGAAAGGGGGCCGGCGCCGAAAATCGATAAAATCCAGCCAATAATTCCGAGCGAAAACCCAAAGAAACAACCTCGGCCGCGCCGGTGATTAAATAAACCTTTCACGAGAGCGCGAAAACTTGCCCCAATCCCCCTCACCCTCGTTCGAGACCGATACGGTTGAATTCTTAACGCGCGTAATCTCCGCGCCAGTCTCCTCCTATCGCTTATCGTGGCTTTTAGCCCAGGGACCAGGACGTAAATTTCCGTCGGACAGGGCCAGACGAATCGCGAACTCGTCTGGCCGAGTTCCGGTGCGCCAACCACGCCCGTGTTAGACACGAGGAAACCTCCTCCTTTTCCCCCCTCTCCCTGCCTCGTTTCGACCGCGAATCTTTTATGGAGGGAGGGGGAGGGAGGTTTGAAAAATTCGAAGGAGGGTCGTTGCACACGCACCCTTGGAGACGCCACGGCCGAATAACCTAATTTCTGCTCACCCTCGATGATCGATCATCGTTGGCTCCTGTCCGACGTTTGCTCGCGTGGAAGGGTGGTGGGTGTAAGAGATGGCGGAAGGGCAGTTTTGGCGTGGAGGGTTGGAGGGGAATGTACGTTCTCCGTTGAAGCGTGAAGAGTGAGATTTTTATAGGAAATTATCTCGCTTCTTTTATTTTTTTCTCTTTTTTTCTGTTCGCTTCGATTCTTG